GTGTACAAGACAGTAGTGAGACCAGCTATGCTGTATGGGTTAGAGACTGTAGCAGTGAGGAAAAGACAAGAGGCAGAGATGGAGGTAGCAGAAATGAGGATATTGAGGTTCTCTTTAGGAGGGACCAGGATGGACAGGATTAGGAATGAGCACATCAGAGGGACAGCTCAGGTCGGCTGTTTTGGGGACAAGGCCAGAGAGGCCAGATTGAGATGGTTTGGACATGTGCAGAGGAGGAATTGTGGTTATATTGATAGAAGGAGATATATGGAGGTATTAAAAGAGGACATGAAGTTAATTGGTGTGAAAGTAGAGGATGCCGAAGATAGAGTTAGGTGGAAACAGATGATTTGCTGTGGCGACCCCTAACGGGAACAGCCAAAAGAAAAAGACAATTTGTTCATGTTAATGATGAATGTTCCACGCAGACTAAAGTTAGTCATGGTGTTCCAAGGGGCTCTGTGCTAGGTTCAGTTATCTGCAATTTATACATGCTCACTGTAGACAATATTATTATGAAACACAGCATAAATAATCATTGCTATGCAGATGATACTCAGTTATATTTATCTATGAATCCAAATGAATCAGATCAGCTGGTCAAACTTCAAGCATGTCTTAAAGACATAAAGGCCTGGATGACCTGTAATTTCTTACTTCTAAACTCTGACAAAACTGAAGTCATTGTAATTGGGCCTGACAACCTTAGAAATCTGCTGTTTAATCATAGACTTTAGATGACATACATAGCTCTCACCTCCAGTACTACTGTGAGGAATCTTGGAGTCATTTTTGACCAGGATATATCCATTAACTCACACATAAACCAAGTCTCTAGAACTGCCTTCTTTCACCTGCATGATATCGCCAAAATCAGGATTATCTTGTCTCAAAGTGAGGCTGAAAAACTGGTCCATGCATTTGTTACTTGCAGGCTGGATTACTGTAACTCTCACTGACAGGAACGAGCAAGAGAGATCATATTTCTCCCATATTTGCTTCTCTCCACTGGCTCCCTATAAAATCCAAGATAAAACTTTAAAATCCTTCTACTAACATACAAATCCCTTAATGACAAGGCTTTAAAGACCTCACAGTGCCTTATAAACCCAACAGAGCATTTTGCTCTCAGAGGGCAGGTCTACTTGTGGTTCCTAGAGTCCACAGAAGTAGAGCTATGGGAAAGAGCAGTGGAAGCTAGGCTAAGAAAGGAAGTGGATATCTGTGAGCAGCAGTATGGCTTCATGCCCAGAAAGAGCACTACTGATGCAGTTTTTGCTCTGAGAATGTTATTGGAGAAGTATAGAGATGGTCGGAAGGAGCTGCATTGCGTCTTTGTGGATTTAGAGAAAGCGTACGACAGAGTGCCGAGAGAGGAGCTATGGTACTGTATGATGATGTCAGGAGTGGCAGAGATGTCAGAGTAGCTCAGGATATGTATGAGAGGAGTACGACAGTAGTGAGATGTGCTGTAGGTCAGACAGGAGTTCAAGGTGGAGGTGGGGCTACATCAAGGATCGGCTTTGAGTCCCTTCTTGTTTGCTGTGGTGATGGACAGGTTGACAGATGAGGTCAGACAGGAATCTCCGTAGACAATGATGTTTGCGGATGACATTGTGATCTGTAGTGAGAGCAGAGAGCAGGTGGAGGAACACCTGGAAAGGTGGAGGACTGCTCTGGAAAGAAGAGGAATGAAAGTCAGTCGTGGTAAGATGGAATATACTGTATGGATGTGCTAAAAGAGGACATGAAGTTAATTGGGGTGAGAGTAGAGGATGCCGAGGATAGAGTTAGGTGGAAACAGATGATTCGCTTTGGCGACCCCTAACAGGAACAGCCAAAAGAAGAAGAAGAAGATTTCACTGAAGGACCAGATCTGCCATCCTGTTTTTTGTTTGTTTGTTTTTTGTTTTGGGAATTTATTTATTTATTTTTATAAATTGTGTTTGGTTTTTTTTACCTGTCTAGGGTAACAACTTAAGACCATACAACATCTGCTCCGCCATAAGTGGCAAATCTGGGCTGAAACCTCATCTGGGATCCTCTAAAGACCCTTGCCAGTAATGAGGCCACCACCCAATCTGTGTATTTATCCAGCCAACTTTTTCTTTCTGTTTGTCTCATTTTGTCTGCACAACTACATCTGTCTTTCTCCTTTTATTTGTATGTCTGTTTGTTTATGTACAGTTTTATCTTTCTATGTTTCTTCAGCTTTTGTTTGGATGTTCTCATTTGTCTGTTTCAGTCTGTTTGGATGTCTGCCGGTCTGTTCATAAAGGTAGATGGAGCTGCAGAAGTCAGGAAAAAATGGTAAGGCACTAAACATTTGTGAAAGTAAATTTAGTTTAGACAGTACTGTATTATAATGTGCCTCTGCCTCCTACAGGTGTGTGACATGAGATGCCACAACAAGCCATGCTGGTCGTGGCGTGGCCATATGGCAGGACACTCATAAGGTGAGTACTGATGCCTGTTACTTTTTTCTATGCTCACTTTATACTCTGACACATTAGATTAATTGGCTGTACCACTGTTTGGGATACTGGTTTTCTCAAGTGCTTATTCAGCCCATAGATAATTTATTAGGAATACATTTAAATTCTGTTTTGGCATCTGAATTAAATGTGTGATCTTTTGTCAGGTTAAATGGCTAGATTAGATAATTTTTCAAACATCCCAGCAGGGGAATTTATCATCTCATCTCATCTCATCTCATATCATATCATATTTACATTTAGTTGTCATCGGACCTGGTTTGTTTAGTAGACACAGTACCAGCCGGGGGTGCGTTTGGGTTCTTGGGAGGGAGCAACCCTGGCAGAGACAGATGACTCTTAAAACAAAAAAACAAAACAAAAAAAAGCTTGTGAACTCAACTATTAGAGGTGTATTTGCCTTATTGTCCATGATGAGAATGACAGCAGTGATACTATGAAAGCCTGACTGTCAAGTATACAGGTTGACACCATATTATTACTGAATTTGACTCTTTTTAGCATTCTTATGGCAAGATTATACTGTGGGCTGAATGTCTCAAGGCTAACAGGCTTTGTATTGAATTAACAGAGGAAGGAACTGAGCTCTGCAGGGACAATACCTCAGTAAAGTGCAAATTGGCCCTTTACAATATGTTATTTCTTGTGAGCTCTTGGCTTGGTAACATGAATTTGTCTCTCCACTTTTCTAATGTCATATAATCCTACACATTGTACACTGAAAGTGTTTTCTAAACTGACATGTAATTCGGAAGTGAGAAGATGAGTAGAGAACAAACACTGGAGACATTTGTAATGTCAAATGAGTGATAGTTACATTACCTTGCTAAATCAGTGCAGAGTGACAACTTCACAGTTCTAAACTCATACGGGGTTAAGTAAGCCAGGACTTCTCCACACTACAGAGAACAAGGCCAGTTGCATCAACGCGCATCATAAGAAGACAAGGCTTTTCTCCTTCCTCTTCTTCTCAGTGTGTGAAGGAGTCTGAGCTTAACATTATTGGTAATTTGAACAGTTGTTGCGTCTGTCATTAAATCTATATATTTGCTGGAAAAGTGAGCAAGGTACCTGAGGGAGAAGTGCAGGTACCTAGAGAAACGAGCAAGAGTCGAGGCAAATTATAGTGTGCAAATACAGATAGATCATGGACTCCTACTGAGTTGGAGATGTGTGCCATGATTGTGCAGTTTCCAGAACCAGACAAGGATCCATCTGGTTTTGTGAATCAGCTGACATAGTATTCTGTTATGATCCTACTAAGAGATGTACTGTACAATTGATATTGACATGTTTAAGGGGTAGATATGATGAGGTAGAGCCAGCTGGGACTATCGCAGCTAGATAAGGATGTACATAGTAGACCTAACTGTATCAAAGTGTATAAAACTCAGTTAATGCATTGTGCCCTTAAGATGAGAATAGTGGAGAGGGGCAAGAACCCAGAACACTTCTCATTTCCACTCATCTGTATTTGAGCATTATAGTTTTAAACTAACAAGCTTACATTTCTTGTCCTCAATGAACACACATAGTTTCAGGACCATAGTTCTGACGACTAGATCTTTTTTCTCTCCTTCTCTTTCTAAATCGACTGCGCTGTGTTTCATAACACCTTAGTTGAGTATTTGAAAGCACCAGTCAAGGAGAATAAAGCCATTGCGAAGGACGGTGGACAGGTACTTTCTGGTTGAAAGGTTGTAGTGTACCAACAAACTGTTTCCTGTGCTGCCAGGGAAATCGACATGGGATGCTGTGACAGAGAAGTTGTCGTGTATAGCTGTGAAGAAGACAAAGACCATGCTGTACCAAACCCTCGTCGATGATGATGGATCTGCACCACGAGTTGTTGATCTCTTCAGTGATGTCAGATATCCACTTCTCTCCACATCATTAAATCCTTATTTTCTTTGTACTTAAAATTGAATGAATTTTTTTTGACTTCTTTGATGCCCAAGGTACCAGTGTGCAGAGCTTCTGATAGTACCCTGATTAGTATAGTCATGATTTGAGTAATGAGGGGCCTGTGCTGCATACCCTCAAAACCACTGTGGTACAGTAATATCCTGAGTTAAATAATGAAACCCAGTCTAGAAAATGATCACTTTCACTATACTAGCTGGTGTGAAATAATTTGACCTTATTCCATGTGTGAGGTGCTTTAGGATGAATATTAATGTCACTGGCATTTTAGATCAGGAATGTTTCATTGATAACAATACATTGCATAGAATTCCTACCAAACAATGATCATATCATAATGCTTTCTATTTCATTTGTATAAAAATTGCATGAAAATAAATAAATCATTAAATTGAGGGGTCATAGATCTAAGAATGCTTTAACACTGTGGAGTCAGACAAGACCGATATGTAGTGGAGGAACTGTGGACATGATTGATTGATTGCCTATCATGCTTTTCACTTTCAAAGAAATTAATTTATGAAAGAACATCTGGCAACTTGAGGCCAAAGAGATTCCATTTCTAGTAAACATAAAATAGGCCTAACTTTGTAAATGCTTAAGCATCAGTTTCCAAGGAATTCAGTGGAGGTGAATGCAATCATTATGACTCTAGGAAGGTGGCTAGTCTTCTAGTGTCATCCAGAGAAGCATTTAAAATACAGTAGGTTATTATTTTGACGGTCTTGTTATCCCCAACAAAATATGTGCTTTTCCCCCCACGAGATTCAGGTGTAGAGCAACAGCGCCCTCATTTGGACAAGCAAAGACTTCGCATTACGGTGAAAGGCCCTGCAAAAGCTCCATTTATGCAGAAACACCAGGCTAATGTAGTTCACGTTTCAGGATCAAGTCAAATACAATGAAATGTTCATTTATAAAATCGCTATATGAAGGATTCCTGTTATCCTGAATGCAGACTATTATACCTAACAGTTACTGATTTATAGTATTTTGATGCCTATTGTTAGGATTGGATTTCAGGAGTTACAGTTGTTTTATTTACTGTTAATATTATTTTGCTTTTATAATGATAAAGTTTAGTATGACTGTCTGTGTTTCATTAACAGCACCATGTATCAGTATTAACCTGGCTCTTATACATGCACTATAGTTATAATTTTCAGCTTCGAGTCAACTTGTAGTATTTCTCATCTTCTTGGATAATTGTGCAAGAGTAGATTGCATAGATAAGTGTCATTCTTGAAACTATAGATAAGATACTGTTAATTTATGCTATTTTACAGATGTGAAGTCTAACGGGCTTGAACTGGTCACTCATGTCTGAAGCATGAATAAGGGGTTTTACAGAACAACAGAATCAGGGAAGTAAGTGACACAGCTAATTGCATGTCCACTTTCAGTTTGAGAGAAACGCCTGAAAATAGAAGATAACAACACACACACACACACACACACACACACACACACACACACACTACCTATATGAACATTCTAGAATATTGATGTGTAACGTATCACCCATGTACAGGGCAGTCCCAGCCCGAGAAGATAAATGTGAATGATTTGTGATTATCGATGCTCTTGGAGACTTGTCATCTCATAGAGCCCAGCGCTGTAATAACTCTGCATTTAACCAGAAGAAAATAAATTACGTAAAGTTGATTCCTGTTTCCTGAGTGTTACTTCTTGGGGCCTTCAGATAAAAGAACCGGTTAAAGTTAAAACTATCAATTAGGCCCATTAAGTCCGAACACACAATTAACATAATTACAAAAAGAAATAGGAAAATTACCTATTGTAACAATTTAATCAATTCATAAGTCAGGACTTTTAAACTTTTATTATGTAAGGGCATTATATATTAGGAACAGGAATAATAACAGGAACAACAGTACTCTTTGTGCTGCTTAAAATGTCAATCCGAAAATATAAATGAAAATCAAACCTTAAATCATTTTGTCACTAAGGTGTTGATACCACTCTGCGGTGATTTCTTTTGTGACGGGAGTTTAAGTTACTGTATGGCATGGTTTACTGTTATTGTCATGCCCTTATGCGCTGTGTAGGTAGGTGTCAGTGTTTGTAGGTCTGCTGAATAAACATCATGGCACATAGGCAGACCTACTGGGAACACGTGGCACTGTTTCCAGAGAAAGAGAGAGAGAGAGAGAGAGAGAGAGAGAGAGAGAGTCGGGCGCGCACACTCCTCCTTCAGTCCTTCCAGCCACGCATACACAGGCAGAGCTGCTGTGGGTAGGAGGGTTTAGAGCTGCGCTGGCTTTTTAAGCTACTGGATTCTGGTTCCTATCCTATTGTGGACTAGAGAACAAGACGAGAGGAATCTATTTTGGGCGTTTTCAAACTGTGCTGCCAGAGGTTAGACATGATGGAGACCAAACTCTGGATTTCCCTGTGCGCGCTGCTGCTCATTAACTTGGGATCGGCGGAACACGGTAGGTAGTAATTTGTCTTGGGTTATTTTTCATTCCATTGCTTTGTTTGATTTTAGCCAGGATATTCATTAATCTGTGCTAGAAATTGTCATAATGGCACCTCTTATCACACACAAATATTACTTCTCTATACCTGCGTTGATTTTTCAGAAGCCAAGTTTCTGTGGGTTACACAATGTGAAGACAGTAGATTGCAACATCTTCCTCTTGTGGGCTTTCTTCCACTTAGGTTAACCCCCCCCTCCCCATCTATTCTTCCTTTTTTGCATGCATTACATTTACACACCTCTCACACATCCTGGTTCACTTTCACCCACCTCCCCCTTTCTCTCGTGCTTTTCCTCCCATTCTTTCTCCTCCTCCACCAGCACCTCTCACATAAAAAGAAACTGAGACTGATGGCATTTAGAAAGATTTTATTGGGCAGAACTGTCCCATCAGCTTCTCAAGCTGAAATTCAAATGAATAGAAAACAACATGGTTCCACTGGAGGACATTTATTAGCTGTAATTGAGCAGGGAAGTACATTGTGTTAAATGACACCTCTAACAGTGTGTAGCAGCACACTTATTTCACTGGGTTCATGCTAATTGGCCTGCCTCTGTGCCACTGGTGCAGGTTCATGTTTTACTGTGAACAGACATTTATAAAGTGTTGACTGTATTGTCCTCTGTGTGCATAAAGATATTTTGCAGGAGTCAAATCAAAACCCAGTGTTTTTTTTTAAAACTTGGATTCAGTTCTATTACATTTTGTTATTTCTGCTGTAAGCGTGCACGGCAGTTTATCAGCATTGTCCATGCCCATTTCAGTCTTCAGTTTCTGTCTCTCAACAGAGATAATAATATAAATATTAATAATATCTAATCTTTCTTTCTTCTTACATACACAAGTACCCCCTTCTAACTAATGTATCACATTCTTACTCTTCTGGGGCATGTCTACGTATATAACAGCATGTCTAGTAACCTAGAAGGAACAAAGAAACCCAATATAACAAAGTATTATAGTTTAAAAATCTGAAAATAAATTACAAAGATCTAAATAAAAATGTCCCTCTAATTATAAACAGAACTGGCACAAGAGAATTAACAGACTTACAAAATTAGACTGTACTTGTATAATAAATCTATCCTAAGCTTAACTCTGTTTGTCTAATTTTGTCTCTTGAAAACTAACTATAGCATAGATCCTGACATAGAGGAGAAATGAACTATTAGTCAGAGATCTCTGTGTGCACAGTTTCATTCAGGTTCCTAACTGGAAAGTTCGCGGTTTGATTACCGGCTTCTCCAGTCCAGATGTCGAAGTGTCCTTGGGCAAGACACTGAACCCCCAGTTTCTCCTTGTGATATCACCAGTGTGTGAATGTGTGAGTGCTTGGGAGTGTGAACGGGCAAATAGTGTGAAAGCGCTGTGAGTTACTCATGTTTCATCAGTTCAAACTGGGTTAATGTACCGTAGCATATAGATCCACATGAGCTAGGCACTTTTACTTGCATGACACAGTAAAACAAAACAAACCAAAACAAAACAAAAAAGCAACTAACCAGATTCACTTAGGTGAAAACAAGTTGCCAGTAAACAATTGAAAGAAGTGGAGTTGAAAAGGCCAGTGGCAATGTGTACAGAGCTATTTCAGTTCCACTTAAAGGGAAAATCCATTCAAAATGATCTGTATTACTGACTCAAAACAATGTTATGTTAGATGGGTTTCACACAGAAGGCACGGATGGGCACTTCTAGCACTGAAGCAGCAGGAACATATGCAGGGTAAAGAAGTGAGCCTGAACTATTTCCCCAGGTACACGTTGAAGTGGCCTGAGAAACTGTAAGAGCCTGTGACATCTGGATAGATGAGCTTTCGACAGTGCAACTGTGGTTCTCTTTATAAACACACACATATATAAACAGACATACTACTCCAGCATTTGATCTCAGCAGCTCTAATGCAGCTAAAGTCAAGGAACAAGGCCAATATTATACAGCCAAATGCCTCTGTCTATTTATAAGCATGTTTTTGTATCATTTAGAGTTCAGTCAGGTCTTTCTTCCTGTCTCTTTCTCTCTCTCACACACACACACATGCACACACTGTGTGTGCTGATGATCTGCGTGAGGGATTACGGGGGTAATGAAAGGCATCACGACAGTGTGTTACTGTACGGTAATGACATTACACTACATTAGTGCTTTAGTCTTCATCAGAAGGAAGCAGTTAGAAACAGTCTTGCACAGCAGCACTAAGAAGATCAAGATGAAGGGGGAAGAGAGAATGAAGAATGAACTGGGACCGAAGGCCTTCATTAAAATGTTACCTTAAAGAGCAAGAATTACTTATGTCTCATGTGGGTTGCAATTGGTGCCATGTAAAGTAAAAGTCAGAGTCAGTCCGTTTACATTTATACTCTAAAATTATGTCTTACAGTAATGTGACTGTGTTTAGTTCAGTGGTCATGACATGATTAACAAGAAAGAAAACAAGAACAAAAAGCATATTTCTGCTACACACAGAGAAGAACCCTTGAAGGCAACACCACACTTTGGCTGAATTGCTTACAACTCAAAGGGTGACAAGGAACTTGGTTTTAAAGAGTCATGATCCAAAATGTTTGGAAACCCACATGTATGTAACAAAGGAAAACATGGATAACTTTCTCTGTGCATACATTTTTAACTTTAATACTTGTTGTCTCAACAAACACTGTCCTATGGTGCCTGATATAATAATGAGCTAATAGGTCAAAGGTTAAAGTGTTTATTCCAGGAATCATCAGGAACTGGCCATTAACCAACTTTGCCACTGTCCTCTTCAGATAATAACCACATGGCTACTTCAAGAAGTCCTCTTGGTATTGTCTTGACTCCTGAGATCCCACATACAGGCTCTGAGCATCCTACTAGCCTGGACCCCACCAGTGGTCCTGCTCCAGCACTGCATGGCTCTAAAACAAGCACAAGCACCAGCAGTTTGAGCAACAGCACGACTAGAGATGGGGAAACCATGTCTCTGACAGCTGAACCAAAGAAAGATAATGGTAACCGGTCAACTCTTACTCCTGTTATTCACTATGAGAAATCATAATGGCAGACTGACTGCACAAAGAGTCACTAGTCAACTCTGTAGTGTGAAGATGCTAGGAAACTTGTGTTGTGCTTATTATTTCTGTCTGAGATAGTTGGCTCAGAGTTTATGAGCTATATTTAACAAAGTCCTTATCTATGTTCCCCTCAAACACAAGACCAAAAACTCGGTCATCAAAAAACTAGAGCTCAGAAAAAGAAATGCCAGATGGTGTAAGATAAAAGTAAAGGAAAGGAGGTGAATAAAGAAGGTATGACTGAGTTAACAAAATAAGGTGCAGTCTATTAGGAGGGCAATGATAAAATATGTGTGGAGAAAAACACACACATATTTCTGAAGTGAATAATATGAGGGGAGATGTGATTAAATGCTGTGTGACTTTTCACAAGGGGGTGAGAAAGGCAGAGATAAAATTCTCTCCACAGATAACACACACACCCTCTTGCTGTCCCTCACTCACACACATTGGTGCTGCTTCACACTTCAAACATATTTACAACCTAGCACACAGTTTAAGCACTTAGTTTATTTAGTGGAAAAAGACTTGTATTTCGACAACTTGTGTTATCTTGCCATTTGTACAGTATTATTTGTCCTGGTTTTGATAATGGTCTTCTGGTTTTCCTTCTCCATGCCAGTATAATGGAAATTAATGGATTTTCAATTTGTGGTGTTCACAGGTCACATTAACAGTGTGCACTTTAATCACACAGCCAAATGTCTACTGCCATCGCAGCAGAATGGGCAAATCCAGGGGGTGGCTGGGGGGGCACTAGCCACTTCTAGAATCTGATTGCCCAACCCATCAGAGTCAAAATGTGATGCTTGTCAGTATTAATGAATAAAAAAAAAGAAAAACCATGACAAATTGTTGTCTTAAATACAACTAACATCTTTCCGGTGCTTTATAATTTTATATTATGTTAGCGTGATGGTTACATAGCCTACATACATACTATATTTCAGTGGCGCAGAAAAATAACTTTGCCTAGTAAAATACAGTATTTTGATGTTCTCTTTTATTTTCTGTAGATACCAACAATGTCTCCCCCTCAGTGACTGTCCTTCCTGAAATCAATAGGAACCGGACAGATGAGTCAACATTACAGCCTCCAATTCCTCCCTCTGCTAGCACCACCATCATCTCTCACATCACTCCTGCCTACACTACTACAAGCCCCACACACACAGCTAGTAACACTGCCCCTGTAGACACATGGACCATTGCACCACTATCAAACACATCACACCATCCTTCACCTACACTAGTTCCTGACTCCTCCTCAAAGCAGCCCACCAACCCCAAAACACACCTACCCACTTCTGCCCCAGCACCTGAGCCACCACGGGTGGCCACTACCACTACTAGCACTCCCAGCACTCTCAGCACTCAATCCAGTTCAACATTCATCACTAGCTCCTCTAAAGAGCCACCCATTTCTGAGTCAACCACCATCGTCCCACCTGGCAGCCCCTCTGTCCAGACCAAAGACCATGCTGACAACCCATCCCAGCTCAATGTAGGGGGTGACAGTAAGTGCCTAGCATCTTCTGTGTTGGTATATAAATTTGTTCTGGATTGTTTACTGGTTATTGACAAAACCAGAAGTGAACTGGCTTTACAACAAAGGTGACACTGTTCTTTGTTTTCCAACACAAGCCAGTCCTTGCTTCTACACACACAAGCACAAAAACACACCACACATCCCCCATCTACAGCTTCTACAAGCACTGTCACCACCAAGCACTCCACAATTATAGCTCTGTTTGGGAAAGGGACACGTCAAGCAGTCACAGGACTCAAGGCCTTGAGAATTTTCTGTTTTCTTTCTTTGTCTATCTGCTAAATAATGCAGATATCTACTGTTTATCTTTCTGTATCTAGACTGTATAGATATATGAGATCTATTTCCAGGCTCAGGCTATCATCACTGAAAGAAAAAGTCAAAACTGATCAACTTTTCTCAACATACAGTTAAAATCTTCTCTGACTGTGGTTTTATTAGACCATGCTTGGCACCTCGCCTCTTTCCATTTGCCAGAGGGACAGGGAGCATTCACTGCTCTGTGGCTGCTCTTAGTTTTGACCAAAGGATATAAAAATCGCCAAGTTTACAAAACAGTCTTCCATAGCAACAGCCAAAAACAGACTGCCACAAACTGCTCCTGCAGAGATATACACACAAACACAGAGATATACACACAAACACACGAACACAGAGATAGTTAGGGAGTGATGATGCTGTTAGAGATTAAGCAACGCCCTGAGAGAAATTAAAACATTCTATACTGTATGTATATAGGCTCTTAAAGTATATAAACTTCTTGATTCCAGATCATTAATGAAATACTGTATCTTAAAATGACACCTTAGGAGTAAATTTACTTCATAACAGCCAACCACATTAACAAGCTGCTGTAGCGATTATATTTAGTTCCAGTTACTGGGAAACTCTAATTGTACTTTTTACACCATGTTAAATCAAAGTAAAAAACATCTTTAACTGTGCATTGTCAGCTTGTGTAGTTGGGCTATGGAGTCTTAAAATAGGAACAGGCCCTGCTGATGTGCCCCTTGTGTTTCTGTTCCAGCGACTATGGTCCATGAGTCTCCCACATTAGACCCCCTGCTGGCCGGCCTGGTGTCAGCCTTCATCATCACTGCTGTCATCATCACTCTGCTCCTCTTCCTCAAACTGCGCCGAAGAGACAACAGACCAGAGTTCCGCAGGCTTCAGGATCTACCTATGGTGAGCACATTAATGATCTCCACACAACACATACAGCACTATCCCCATGAAAATATTCAGTCTGTCAGATATTGTTAAGCACAGATATGAGAGAAACTGTTACACTGTCAGCAATGTAGAGTTCCTGCTTCAAACCCAAGCTGCACCACATTCTAAAGCACTAGCCTTTGTAGGGTTATAAGTTGTAACCACTGGTTATATTGATAGTTAATAAATCACTTACTAATGTTTTATAGATTAGTTAAGAGTCATTTATAAGAATAACATCTGGGTTCCCAAGTTGGTGTTTATCCTTCTTCAGCAGGTTTGGAATGTTTAGCTCCTCAGTTCATCAGGATAAACATGCAAGTCCTGACCTTCTGGAAAACAGCAGCACCTTATTAACACCTTACTAATGTTTAAATGTGCACAGCTAAAGGATAATGGATAAATATGCTTATTTACTTGCTTGCTGAGAGTTAGATCAAGACATTGATACCAATTTCATGTCTGTAAAATACATATGAAACTACAATCGGGAGCCGGTTAGCTTAGCTCAGAATAAAGACTGGAAATAGGGGAAACAGCTAGAATAGAGTCTCTACCGGTTTCCTGGCTAGCTCACAGTGCTGGCTAGACTCCAGAAAGTCACTGTGCCAAACCAAGAAATTGTCCAGTACACAACCATGATACAACCACAATGGATTTCTTTTAACACTTTGGCTTTAGTACAGGTTAAACAAATGAGATATAATGTATCCATTAATTAGCTTCAGATGCTCTGTTAGGGTAGGTGGATTTTAGCAGGCTAATATCCACTGTTGCAAGTTGTTGTGCTAAGCTAACCACCTCATGGCTGTAGCATCATATTTAGTCTACTACAGAGACATGAGAGATGTATCAGTGTTTGAACGACTCAGCTATTAATGACTGTAGCCATGGAGAGTTTCAAAATGTATTCTAGTTCATTTCTAACTACTCAGTAAAGCATTAGCGACTTATTAACCATTAATAAACACATTTATTTTTTGTGCAGCACTTTGTAACTGCTGTTTAGAAAGGTGCTATATAAATAAAGTTTGCTTTGCTTTGCAATAATAAAGCTAATAGTTACAACTTATAACCTCTTTATAGAGGCAACATATTAGAGGTACCACAAAATCTGTGGTACTATGTAAATATCGAGCACTTATGTAGACTGTATAACGTCTGTGTAACAGTTATGTTCTTTCATTTTGTCTGTGCAGGATGATATGATGGAGGACACACCTTTATCCATGTACAGCTACTGACGGAGGCATGACTGAAATGTTTGGCACCTAAATACTCTCCTATAAAGCCAGGCTCATGCCACAGCAGTCATCACACCTGGTATCTTTTCCTTTGTCTGCACCAAACAGAAAGTGGGTGGATAGATGTAAACACATTTCTGGAAAGGACTTGATTTAAGCTGCAATGAACAGTGAAGGCATCACCCATGATGGGGTCCCTTTGGAAAAAGTCTATTTTGGTGTTTGTAATTACAAATTAGGTCAACGCCTCTTTTCAATGTTGTATGCTTAATATTTTTCGGCCCATCATTTGGGGTGGTTGGGATTCTGTTTTGAATTCCTCAGAGTAGATGGGGTAGGTGTAAAACAGAAGGCAACATCATCAGTTAAATCCATCACTGTGAGGGTTTACACCTGGACACAGATTTAACCTGTCCTGCTAGACTTTTTACCTGGGGACACTGGTGTGATTTTTCTGTTATCAGATTATGCCATAAAGTCTGGTCTAGCAGTCGGACTGAGAGGCCAGAGAAGAGAAATGAACAGAATGGCCCGATTATAGTGTTAATGAGGTTGCACTTTATTTTTTCCAAGAGATGAGAGAAAATTGACAAATATTTTTGTGTATGATAAAAAGTGTTTTGCTTGCATAGCAGTGTGTGCTTTGTAGGCATGTATGCACTGTGTGAATTCATTAAAGGTGCATGTGTGTCTGTTTTGAAAGGAGGACAGGGGATATTTAAGAATTTCTTTTCTGTGTTAAAAGTCCTGCTGCCTTCTGGTCTGATTTTGATGTGAAGTGTGTATTTTTCTTTCTTTCTTGGAGTCTCTAAATCCAGGAGAGAGTGCCTTACACAGTACAGGAACAGCTCTTATTGTATACTGTATTTATATTCAAACTCACTCATTTCCAGATTTACCAGTCGCTCCCAGGACTTTGTGTGATTCCCATGGCACTTGGGGAGTGGTAGCTGCTCTGACTTGCCTGTGTTTGAAGACTTGCCTTGAACATGTTCACCACGAGGCACTCATTCATCCGGCGACAGCTGCAGACCGGAATTGGCCATTAGCCTTTCCACACAATGTTAGCATTGTCCTGTGCATTGTAAATACTATATTTGCATCACGCAAAGACAACTTCATGAAACTCTTCATCTTAGTTGCTGCTTTAGCATTCACCAGACACAAACATTAATAAAGTTCCATTAACTGACCTGACAACACCCAGCTGGCATTGATTTTACCGTGCATCGGTCTCGCTGTATATAACAGCAGGAAAACATGAGTGGAAGTGAATCACGTACAGGGTGACGAATTTCCATACAAAATATATGTGGCTCATATTTACTTAGAACAGAGTCTAAATTACTTAAACATCAAGATGTCTGGGGATTTAAATAAAGGTCGTGAAACGGAGCTATAAACTGTATTTGCTACTTCTTTTTTGAAGAACTAGACGGGCAACAAATTAAGGGAAACCAAACATGAAAGTGTCTTAGTAAGATATTGAGCCCCCGAGGCAGCTTCAGTGCTTCTCGGAACAGATTCCTTTTACATATCTACACTCCCTCCTGTGGTGTTTCAATGATGGAGGTGGAGAGTACAAAAGCTTCCATGGATCTGGTGCCTACGAAGGCTGTAGGATATGACTTACATCATTTTCATACCTGTTAACTAATTCAATGAGCTGTTCTCCTTTTTGTAATTTGTCACTCATCTGTACATCCTGTTCTAAATCAGATACTCATCATTTCTGTGTGTAAATCCCATATTTGTCCATTTCTTTGCGTGTAAAAAAGTACCCTAAATACATAGTGAGGCTTTGCTGCCAGATGTGGATTGTGGACTGTTGCTGTTTTTTTGGTTATTAAAGGTTTCTGAAACAATAATCTGCATTTTCTCTTAATCCTACTTTAAATGTGTTATTAACAGAGTTTGTTGTAAACAGCTCTTTGACCTCAGCACAACACTGATCTGTAGAAGCAACCACAGTAAGCCAAGTTCTTTTCTTTCAACTTTAAAGCAGTCTTATTGTTAGAGACTTTTACAGACCTCCCAACAAATGAAGCAGTGAATGAGTTTACTGCAGCACCACAGCACAGTACAAGGCAAATGCAATAAAACAGAAGAAAGATCAGATTCATCAGCCATTATATGGCCACAATAACAAAGAGATGAGTCTTTTCTTAATGAAATGGTTCCTCAATATTAACAGCTATACAAGAAAAGTGTGTACAGCTTAATGCTATTAACCATTTTACAGGTGTTTTGCTCCCTACTGAACAGTGAAACAACCTGCTTTATCAGATGAACTGGACAGCGTCTGTGGTCACTTTCTTATCCACACCCCAATGAACACCTAAGCTGCATGTCAGCTACCCTGTGGCTCTGCACTGTGGTCAGGAATTCTCGATGAGGGGTATCTGGACACTGAAAAAAATGAACAGCTTGACGCTGCCTGGCACAATGTTTGTCATGTCAGACATAACATAAAGGGACTCACGACTGGCTTAACTGAGCACTGTGTATATAAACATACTGCAATGCAGGTGAGGTGCCACAGACGCCTAGGTAACGTTAATAGATTGATTTCTCTGTGCCGTCACTTCAGCTGCATTACCAGGAATAAAAAGCCCATCGCTCATCAGATTCCTCTGGATTGGAGTGTACATTATGTCAGGAAGATAAAATCCATTACATATCCATTACTCTGCTACTCCGGAAAGTGTAGCACTTTAAATAATGTAGTACATGATCACCAGAACTTTAAAGTTTAAAGGTACTGGGAATCTTTACACCAAATTACTGTACGTTGTATGATCAAATCTCATCAAAATACAAAATCATTAAGCTAAAATAAAATTTGGATGTTGTTTAACAAACTAATAAAAAAAATCAACAGAAATGCGCTGTGCACTTAGCTCTGTACACCAAAAGCACAATGGAATAGTTATTATGGATCCTATTGTAGAGCAAAGATGAAAGTCCTGCCCAAACCTCAACCACATCAAACCTTTACCTAATCCCAACAATCTGCAATTATTACTAACCTAAACATAACCGTTTTAATCCTGTTTTACCTAAAACCAATCATCCTATTAAAAAAAGGTTGTTTTTTTTTTTTTTTAAACAGCTGTTTGTGTCCTCAGTGTGTTCCCAGCCTCCCATCAGTCAGTACATGTGGAGACAGTTATTGCAGATTATTTAAGGAGAATCTGTGACTATTGCAGTTTCCAGCAGTTTGCACCGTCCTCAACCTCTAGCAGCCATCATTAACTAGACTGAGGAACAGCAGTGCTTTGATGAAGACTTCAAAAAAGGACAAGTGAACAAGTTAACATTTGCCAAATCTTTTGATGCTTTCTTTCAGCACATTATGGAAGCATGGGGCCAAGTGTCACAATAGACCAGACAGTTTGAACAATGAGCAGACAAGCAATTCAAAAAAACTGAAACCAGCCTGATACAGTGTGATTTGTCCTTTACAGTCCTGGTACTCTCAACTATAACATTTGTAAATAGCACTGAGAGTTTTCCACACTAAAAGAAATTCCCCCACTGGTATCAATGCACGCATCATATCCAAGCAGGTCTATGTAGGATGCCAAGTCTCTTATTGGCTTTCTCAGTTTGGGAGAAAGAGAAAGGGTAATGCGTAGCCTTGTCCCCTATGCTGTGTTACCCTAACTATTATGGTTTTTAAAGTTTTGTGTTTTGCAACACTACTGTAACTATAAAATACAATGACTGTATCAGATCAAATCAATTTAGAAGTATTAATACATCTCAGGTAGTGTATTGGAGAAAGAAAAAACTGTCTTTATTTTGTTGACTCCTTCCCAAATCAAATTCCAGAACATCACCTTAGCAGCTTAGAGGTCATTAAGACTCAAGTCAGATTCAAAATCTTGGTTCTCATCTTCATCAAGGATAGGTCCACCTTCATCATCATCATCATCATCATTATTATCAGCATCATCCTCGTCCTCCTCCAGATCAGACCCTGGACCTGTAAAGTGACTCCGTCGGGACTGAACACTCAGACGTACTCGTGGCTTCTGCTGAAGAGCTGGTGGAAGTGAAGAGCAGAGACAAGCAGATCATGTGTGTGTGTGTGTGTGTGTGTGCGCGCGTCTCTGTTTCAATATGTGGGATAAGACTGGAAGACACTCAAATGTTTTCCCCTAACAACTGGGTACCAGCATTAAAGTATGTGCGTGTATGTGGATACAAAAGCCAAATTAGCCTAGTTTCATGAGTCCAAATCACACTGTGAAACATTTAGAGCATAAATCTTATCTGGGAACATTAACCTTCTGTTAGAGGAAGTCTCTGGGTTGAGCAGAGCTCACACAAACACAGGATATAAAATTTCACCTGAAACAACTGGCTTCACATAAACAGTTGTGAAACAATAACTGTACTGCTGCTTTTTCTGAAGTAGGGGAACACAGGAGTATAGTACAAAGGTACTCACAGTGATGTCATACATATCCATGTTACATTCCCCAGTTCTCCTTTACTTTTATTGTCACTTTTATCATTTTTGCCTTTATCTTGGAACCTCCTTTTCTGACATCTTTAAAAGGAATAAGATGGATTTGATGAGAGGCTCAATACTACCCTTACTGTATCTGTATGTTAAACATGGAGCTATCAGAGTAAATGCTTTATGGGTTCTGTGTTGAATCTACGTCATAGGTAATGCGTAGCCTTGTCCCCTATGCTGTAGCCTAACATGCACCTCTCCAGAAATGTAAATACAGGTTGTGGCAACGCAGACCGCAAAAACTGTGGCTGGTTGCATCACATTTCCTCGTTCATGTTTCTCGGTGGCTGGGCAAGCATGGGATATCCCCCCTTGTTTGGCCTCATTTGGTTCAGTGGTTGTACATACCATGTCCTCCAAGGTCTTCTCTTATCTGCGTTGCAGTAATTTCAGTAAAAGTAACTGTTGTTCAACATCTATTAGTTTTTATGACCTGTGTCGAACATGTTCTCATCTCAGTGTTGCTCTAAGTTCTCTTTTTGCTTTCATATGCAGGGCCGTGAGCTTGTTTCAGTAGTAGCTGGCAGAGTTCTGCAGGTACAACCAGTCTCCCATCGTGTGATCTCCATAGTCCATTCTTCTGAGTGGCTCCTTTTCTTATCCACTCACTTTGCTCATATGGGCCTGCTTGCTCTTGCATTCTAAAAATGAAAATCACCCTAACACCTGCTCAGTTTCAGTCACCACTGAAAGTGGTGAAGAAATGCAATACAGCGGCATAGAAACCCTACTATTAGTGTTATTGGTGGTGTAATTGCAGGGCAGCACATACACACCAGTGCACACATATAAATGCTCACAAAGGCGTAGGCCACTTATGTAACCTACAGGGCAGGCTCTGCATAGATTCAGAACCATAAATCAAGCTTTAAAGCTAACATTAGTGGCTCTGTCCTGCTCTTCATTGCTTATCTTAGCATAAAGACTGGACACTGGGGGAAAAGCTAGCCTGGTTCTGTTCACAGGCAACAAAATCCACTTTCAGCACTTCCAACGCTCACTAATTAACATGTTATGTCTCCTATGTTCCATCCAAAAAAAACCCTAAGTGTTAAAACCACCATTTGTGGATTCCAGGGGTTTATGTGTGGGACTATTTTTCTGGCTGTGCGAAGTGACTTCTTGGAGTCACCATTAGGTTAGGCTACTTATCTTCTCATCCAACTCTGGAGAAGAAACAAATAAGCATATTCCCAAAAATGTCTTACTATTCTTTTAACAAACTGTAAGCTGATAAATGATAAAATGATAAACACAGACCAGCAGGTTTACTACAGTGAAACAGATTAAGGTTGAGCCAGATGTGTGGGGGAGGCACAAGAGGGGGAACTACACCACCCTTCTTGCTACAACCTTCATCACACTGTGCCCATCTGTGTAACATTCTCTGATGGCCCAATTGTTAGAACATGTTTGTGCTGCTGTAGGCAACAATGTAGGCGGATAGAAAACAGGAGCATGTAGCATTGATGACTCAGCACACTGTACTTCAATACCTATAGGTGCACAGAGCCACTCTGCTTTGGTGCCCTTTTTCAGTCAACCTTACCAGGGTCTTTGTCTTCCAGCCATGACAGATCATCTGAGCTGACCTCGGCCAGGCTCGGGGTTGGGCTAAAGTCTTCTGAGTCAGAGTCTGGCTCTTCGACTTTGACCCTTCTACTATGGCTGCGGGGGAGCGGTGAAGCCCCTGAATGGAAACAAACCCACATTAGTTTTATCACACTGTGTATGTGTGTGAGAGAGCCAGGAAAGGAACAGCACTTGCCTGATGTATGTGCTGACAGAAATGGTGTTGGTTCACTTTCTCGAAGCACAAGACTCTTCACCTCCTCCTTCAGTTCTGACATTGCTGTCCTGTTGTAAGACATCAAATACAACATATAGCATGTGAATCTTCAGAAAGAAAAGACAAAAGCCCTGGACATACACACAAATACCTGATCTGGCAGAGCTCTTGCTGTGTGTGTGAATACTGGGAGAGTGTCTTGGCCAGGTCTGTGCTATGAGTTCTGTAGCTGTCTGTCACCTCCTGCAGCATCTCAACAAAGCACACAAAGGAAAGGTTAAGGATATGAAAGACTACAAACCACACATCCACAAGCAAACACAACCAGTGCGAATCAGTTTTGTGTGTGTGTACCTTGCAGCTGCGTTCATACAGTCTCCTGGTCTCTCTGGCCTCTGCCTGTTGGAGGAACATGTCCTCCTCCTGTCTCCCTGTCAAGAAGCAAAGAAAGAGCAGATGTTGGTGAGCAAGACTGTGCTTGACTTTGCCTTGCAGGCCAGCACAGGCCTTAGTGCATGTGTGGTCCTGCACAGTCAATGCAAGGGCATGATAAATGTGTGTGTATGTGACTCACTAAGCCGTGTTTTCAGCTGGTCCACCTCTCTCTGCAGGTGTTCCAGTTCCTCTCGACGGAGCTTTGAGCTAAAACTGGAAAAACAATGAAAAGTGGCTATAATGGTCCCAGCATTTCTTCTCTTTCATACCAGTCTTCCCCAAAAGGAGATGTCAGCCAAAGACCTTTGTAATATAAAACCTTTTTGAATTCTACATGAGGTGTAAACATTTCCAGGCCAACCATGAGCAGGATCTGTCATCGGTCTAGTCTGCAGTTCCACCCCTAAAGCACCTCTCCTCCAGGTTGCCTAGCGATGTGGCTCTGGTGATGTGTCCCCGCAGACTGCTGAGCTCGCGTCCAACCTCTCTCTTCCACTGCTCCATCATTCTCACTGCTTCTGGACTTGGAGCCCTTCGACTCATCCATTACTCTTACCCTCTCCCTGAGCTCCTCACGCAGCCCATGAACCTCATCTGGAAAAAAAAGAGAGGCTATTATGAGAAAGGATATTTTCTCCTTTAGCAGCCTTGTGGATGAATTTAAATTATTAATATCATATTTTCTCTTGATGAGTGTGTCTTGCTTTTTTACACATTGAGTAGCTGGTGAGTGGAGAAGGCACAGGAGAGCTCTAGTGGGATTTAACATAAGGTAAGGCAGCATAGAAATAAAATAAAATAAAATCTTCTTCTTCTTCTTTTGGCTGTTCAAAATAAAATAACAATAGAATTATACAATATATATATAGAGTTACATTTATTTAATATTTTCTTCCAGCAAATGCTTTTGTCCAAGTGATGCAAAAATGAATAAAATAAACAAGCCAAGCTCCTGTGGATCACGAACGGAATAAAATATGGAAAAATTTAACATAATGGTAATAAATTAGATTGGTAGTGCTCATTTCTCAAAAGTGACACTGTAAACACTGACGGTTCACAAAAATGAGAGCACATCTTCCTGTAAATCCTCTTGCAGTGAGGATCCTGTTACTGGCTTCGCTCTCTGTCATCTGTATAATCTACAGTATGTGAAAGTGATAGCATGAGGTTATGATGATGGACACAGATCAAAGTGTATTTTAAGACTAAAAACTGAAGCATTTCTGTTTTCCATTCCTGTTGCATACAGTCAACATGTTTTAAATGTCTTGTTAAGTCACAGAACTAACATATCAAACAGAAGTCACATAGGTTTGGTGGAGCCACAAATACAGCTGTTACCAGGTTTTTCTCCCTTTGATGGACACACAAACAAGCTTGCAACCTTAACAGAGTGGTACTGGGACTAGAGCATATGCATTGTATGCAATACACTGCTATATAAATGGTAATAGATTAATCCAACAGTGAAAGTAACAGGGAAGCAGCAGAGTGATGCTGAACTGGGGTAAAACCTGCATCTGTGTTCTGATTTTACATTTGGGATCAGCTGAAGGTGAGAAACAATAGAGCCACCCAGGTGATCTGAGGTACAATATTCAAGAAGGGTGGATATGTGCACATGAATGACTTTTGCTAGGCCAGAGATCTAAAATGAAATGACTTTAAATTACTCTGTGTTAAATAAAATGGACTTAACTGCTGAAGTGAATAATAGCTATAACTTATGTCAGAAATAATGTGGTAATGACTTGTTTATGTTAAAATGCCACATGTGGCACTTTCAATAACTTGATAGTGTCTGAACACGCTTTATTTTTCATATACAACCTGTTATCCTGGTATGGGTGTGACCACATTAAGAATTCAATAACAGGAGTCAGGTGTTGTTTCTGACCCATGTGCGGTCTTGTATAATCTAAGGCAAATAGTCCTGGTGATGTAGGTTACCGGTACCTTGTAGTGTCTGGATGTAACACTGCTGTGACCGTCGCTCTCTTTCCATGTCATGAATTTTCTGAGTGAGAGAATCAATTGCCTTGAAAAAGCAAAGAAAATAAATGGAATTTATTACATGACCGTTTGATTTCACACACCTGGCATTATTAAACAAATAATTACACACCTGGTTCTGTATTTGGAGCTGTGACTGGATAGAAGCTAGGTCTGCCCACTGCACACCAGATGTGAGAGAAGGGGAAGGCTGTCGGAGAAGTGGGGCTCGAGAGGGAAGAGTAGGAGTGTTCATATCTGAATCGTGAACCTGCTCCCTTACCGGAAACAAATCTGATGAGAAACAGAAATGTAAGGGAGGTTGCTTACAAAAAAAGATTCAACCAAAACAAGTGAGTTCCCTCCTACTGTGTGCTCCACTATATTGTGAAATTTGAAAAAACGTAAATTATACACATACAGAAATGGGTAATTTCCCCTTTTAGTCATAACAAAAAAAAAAGTGAAAATTTTCACCCACCTTCTCCTTTGGATAATTTCCCTGGTGAAGTCAGCCTCTCCTGTGAATATAAATATAAACACTTCTTCAAATTCACAGGGTTTTTCCAAATGGCTCTTTGATCAGAAACTTAATTACAGAACTAACCCAACATTAGTTAAAAGTTACTGAAGCGTTACTGCCATCTATAGAATGCCACAATGATTACAAGACCACTGCGATGGCTCTCCTGTGTTGTACTCAGCAGTGACGCAAAAAAAAAATTCCTTGGTGCACAGTAGGGACACACACACTCCTATAAAATAATGACTTTGTTATTCCCAGCAACACACATAAATTAGGCAAAGACCATTTGAAACTACTCACCCTCATCTTTGCAACACTGCCATCTGCTACAGACAGGATCGCGCTCAGCTGATTGTCCCAGTTCATTTTTGAGGTGATCTACAAAGAAATGCATCAAATCAGTGTTTCAGATCCATCATTCATTGGCAATAGATGGTTCATTTTAGATCCTTGGTGCTAAAAAGTCATGCAAGGCAGTGCTGTGTGGCCAGTCAGTGGTGATACATCAAAGACTTCTGTATGGTAGTGATACAGTAACTTTAGACCTGTAGGTGAGGTAACAACTTAGCTGAGATCTCTGACCCTTTGTGCCGGATTAAATTACAATAGGATATTGTATAACCTGGATATTTGCACCTTTGCATGACGGCTATCATATGCTACTCAGCTCAGTGCAGTCGTGGTGCCAGCATGTGCAGGCTCTGTGACAATGTAAATGGTCTACTTAATTTATCTCTATTCCTGTGGAGGCAATACTTCCTTCCAGCCTCCAGGAACAGATGCATCTTTGAACCTGGAATAAACCTGGCAGGAACCCCAGCTAATGGGCAGCTCAACGGGGTAGAGCCTTGCTTACAGAAATAACGAAATTCGCACAAACATTTCGACACAGCATAACTTATTGCAAACACTAAACAACATTTGCTGGACTAATTCATATCTTACCCAATTCAATTAGCAGCGGTTTTAAGACTTTTCCCTCAGTATTCATAACGTTACGTTATTAGCTGGTAAAAAAATATTCATCGTCTAAGACAATGAATTAAGTCTGCTTTTGCTAATAACACATACCACGTTTCTGAAAACACAAAATACAAGTTATTAAAAATAGAGATGCCGATACCGCTGCTATATGAATAAGCAAGACAATGCTAACACTCACAGAAAACCTTGCGACTTTTAAATCCAGGAGCCCATAAAGGCGACGTGTTTGCGTGTGACGTACCTGTACGGGCCTTCTGGGTATTGTAGTTGGACGTTACTCTATTGGTCTGCATTTACAGAATTACAGTGGTAGTCATGTAGAACACCTACGGAAGAAATCATATCATGTTTTCTATTATAGTCACTCATTTAGTCAGAACAAATCATTGTAAAAACAGCAAGTCTATCGTAAGTTCTGATTTTGGGGCAGATAATAAACATCGTATCCCACAATCCAACGCTTTGTTTTGACATATGACAATGGCGGCTTCCAGTGTCAACGTGGAGGGTGTAATAAGACTGCTAAACGATCGTTTATCAAAACTTGGATTTGAAGTCTACCATCTGAAGGTACTGGGGCACGAATTTCTTCCTACAACACGAACAAAAGGCTTCAGAGTGAACAAAATGCAGTTCAGTAGGTGCACATCCATCTGCTAGTGGACCTGGGAAGTGAAGAGTTGAAAAAGCCAGTAACATTATCATCATTAGTAAAATTGTGTCATTTTATCTGACAACCAAAGCATTATAGAGCATTATTTTTTCTTTATTCCATATTAGTTACCAACTGCACGTGTTCATTACCCTACAAATGACATATCTCTTGGTGCTTCATGGCTCCTCACTTATATTTTCTTGCTGAACTTTTTTTGTTTTTGCCTCTGCACTTCTCCCCTCATTGTTACAGATTGGTTGGTATAACTCTGTGTTGCGTCCCTCCCTGCACCTGGCTTACCCAGATGACACCTTGGCTGTGGTGGTGCTCAGCACTCCTGCCATGTTTGAACAAGCCTTCCTGCCCTTCATGGAGGAGAGAGGTTGCCAGGGGTTGTCTGATCCCATAGACCAGTGTGTCAAACATTGTGTCTCATCTGCTGTCTCACAGGTGAGGGTGTAAGAGTATAATGGAGGGACAGACTGACAGAGATAAAGTTGGCTGGATGATATGGATAAAGTTGTTCTAACACAGTATGTGTGGTTTTATAATCAGGAAATTAAATGTTTAAAATCAACATACACTAATATAAAACCCTGCAAATCATGTACACTGCTTTACAAACAATGACAACAATGGTCCAGTAAAGAAGCATTAAGTGGGTAAATACCACAAAGGCTGGCTTACCAAGCGAATAAAGCAGACCTGCCACAGAGGCCCTCATACTCAGTACAATCAATGTAAGTTGTTTTGTAGTAATTTAATACATCCTAAATTTGTTCCACACATTATGGAAAATGACCCAAACAAGTACGATGTTTGCCTCATGAACAGCTCTACATTATTACTTCATCCTTTTATAAACTCACTAAATGAAAACGCTGTTAGCTCTGAGGGAATATGATTTTATATGATTTTTACTTGCTGCATATTACATAAATATATATATTGTATGTGTAAGGTTTTTCTTGGTGAGGGGGGTGCATTTTAGCCTTTATTTGATAGTAGATTGCACAGAAATGCAGAGAGGAAACATGGAGAGAGTGGAGGCACAACATAGGTCTCTGGCTAGAATCAAATCATGGACATTGTGGATATGTGGTTATGGGCCATGCACTATAAACATTCGGCTACTGTTGTGCTCCAAATGTATTATTTTTAAATGTCAAAAAATACTGGATCCACCTCCCATGGCAGTTTGCTGACCAGCTCCCTGACAATAAATTTCATGTGTAAGTTGAAGTACTGTATGTTCTTAATAGGTTTTTTTGAGGCAACTGTCTACACGCACAGTGCACAGACAGCAGGAGGCACATAGAGTCAGTAGGGGACCAATAGCATGCTCTTCCTACGGGGCCACGTAGTGGGTTAACCTCACCAAGGTTCCATGGTATAAACTGTGTGACAATATCTCTGATGGTCTCCTAGTATATGACGTTGTTTTGTTCAGCTCTAGTTAGGGATAGTTACACCTGTAACCATTTCCCAGATCAGGCTGTGAAATGTACTGTATTTCCCTCTCCTCTCCCTGTCCTGCAGTGTTTCCCAGGACAGAAGGTGGATGTGAGTTATGACTATGAGCTGCTGCCCAGCAGGAAGCCGAAGTTCTTGGCTCAGACTGCTGCTCACATGTGTGGTGCGGCTTTCTACTACCAAAAATCTGATGTCACTGATCATTCGTGGGGTGAAAAAGTAATGATGTTCATTTCTGAGGGAATCTAAATGACTGCTACTAAATCAAATCACTGTAGTTCTGGTAGAGATTTTGTAGCATTCTGTTTATTACCTTTATTGTCTATTTACCCACAGAAAATGTGTGGAGTGTGTGTGCATCCGAGGTTCGGGGGCTGGTTTGCCATAAGAGCTCTCTTGGTGTTTAGAGATGTAACAGTGGAGATGGTGCAGCTGAATCCCCCTGATTGTGTGCCCACCAGAGAGGGCAGGATACAGCTGCTGGAGGCTTTCAACTTTCGCTGGCAGGTGCAGGACCTCTGTTATAGTTTCTGTTGCATCCATAATAAATAGACACCAGGGGACACCAAACTCCAGCAGAGAGATGGTCTTTAGATAAAAGACCAACTACATCTTGGAGGTTTTATTTGTCCCGGGGGCCCCTTCCAAGAGGATCTCAGTTGTCTGTCATGTCAGATATCTTATTTTATATTATTTAGCATTAGAATAGCATTTTCATTTTTAAAATTTTTCTACATTTTGAGCCTCATGTTAGAGGTCTTGCTAAAATCTTCTAAGTGTTTCAGTTGTGTACTAATTTAATCCTGATATGCACAAAATAAGAATGTTTGTAATTCAATAACTAAAGTGAAAGTCCCAGTATATTATTTAATGGGTTTTTACCACATAGTTAAATATGAAATTAAGTGAGTGTGTATCTAGGCCCAGGGGTTTCACGCCAGTGACTTCTGTGCCGGTCCCAAGCCTGGTTAAATAGAGAGGGTTGTGTCAGGATGTAAGGAAGGGCATCCGCATCCGGATTCCAGATTTGCTCATGCGAATCGGACTTGCTGTGGCGACCCCTGACGGGAACAGCCGGAAGTATAGTAGTAGTTAAATATGAAATTAACCAGAAACCTTTGCTCCTTCAGGACTGGAGCTACAGAGACATCATCTGTCCAGTCCAGACCTACTCTCAGAAACAGAGGGACTACTTTTCCACTCCTCCTGCCCAGCGGTTTGCTCTGCTCACAACCTGGGGCCTCTTGCCAAGAGAAGACTCTAAGCTACAGAATGAAAGTAGTGAAAACCCTCACTGAGCACAAGCCTCCACTGTTTGCCAGACTTTAAATTAAATTTTGCATAATTGATTCAAGCCTGTAAGGTTTGGGTGCAAGCTATGGAAAGTGGGGAACCGTATCCAGGACTGGCATATGAATGTTCACTATATGATGTATATCATCATATACAGTGGTGTGAAAAAGTGTTTGCCCCCTAAACCTAATAACTGGTTGGGCCACCCTTAGCAGCAACAACTGCAATCAAGCGTTTTCGATAACTTGCCATGAGTCTTCCACAGCGCTGTGGAAGACTCATGGCAAGTTATCGAAAACGCTTGATTGCAGTTGTTGCTGCTAAGGGTGGCCCAACCAGTTATTAGGTTTAGGGGGCAAACACTTATTCACACAGGGCTTTGTAGTTTTGGATTTTGTTTTCCCTTAATAATAAAAACCTTCATTTAAAAACTGCATGATGTGTTTACTTGTGTTATCGTTGACTAATATTTAAATTTGTTTGATGATCTGAAACATTACAGTGTGACAAACATGCAAAAAGATAAGAAATCAGTAAGGGGGCAAATACTTTTTCACACCACTGTAATCACACTACATTAAAATGTCATATTATATTAGCATAAGTAGTAGGCAGCTTCATTAAATAGGTAAATATGTTATACACTCCTGACTATACTCATATATATTGTATGAAATCAATAGTGAAGACAAACGCAGGCCTTGTAATGGTCTTAGGAAAATCATAGACTACAGCTTCTGTGTGAGTAAAATTTTGTTACTTACCTCTAGTAATATGATGTGGAGAGTTTGCTTTTATTTTTCCAGGTATAAAAAAAAAAATCTCCAGCAGCATTTGTTTCCATACACACCGTTCTTGATATTCTGGATAATCAGCAACAACAGATTTCAGTGGAACAGTGACAACCCTCAGCCTATTAAAGTTAGATCCTTATTTATTTATTTTTGTGACGTCCCAGAAAAACCATTTGCCAGCTGCAGTTATCGGTTCCTCCGAGCAGCGAGGGGTTAAGCGTGCTTTCTTTTTTCCTTCTCCCTAAAAGCTCCTGAATCAGCGCAGGTCACGTCTATAGGTACGCCTCTAGATGTCACTGTTCTCCTCTTGATATTGTAGGCCGAGAGTGTGCTGCTGTCTGTGAGGCATCTGCAAATGTTCAGCACTTGATAAAGCCAGGTACAGACTGTGCAGATAACCCACATTAAAGCATACCATCTCCTCATTGTTAAGTGACTCTTGTGTGCAAATGTATGATCTTCCATTGTATTGCCTGCATTTAAGCAGCTTTATTTTCCTGTCATTATTTACACTTTGCTTTTTCCTTGTGATCCAAAATTATGGGAACTCTACCTACTGCTTCAGTTCACGTTTTCTCTTCATTGCATCACCCCATCCCTTGCTGCCTCTCCCTTCTCTTACTGCATCCTCCTCCTAACCCCCTTCTCCCTCTCATGCTATTCTGTCTGTTCGTGCACTGAATCAGCATTCCAGAGCAGCATACGGCAGGCCTGCAGAGAGGGAGACCATGGACTTAATTATACTCCCACAGATACTCGATCACTCTCGTATCCCCCTTCTCTTTTACTTCCACCTCTCTCACTTTTTTCCTGTTTGCCTCTTTGAGCATGTGCTTTAAATTCAGTTAACTCCTCAGTTTAACTCTCAGTCTTATATAACTTGAATATGAAAAGTATCGAAAGGCATGTTTTTGAAAATGTATTGGACACAAAACTAGACAACAGGAATCAAACAAGCACAGAAAGCCTTGGCAGAGTATCTTTCTTGTGGTTTCTTTTTTTGCTGTTACTGTTTCCTTTTACATCCCTCTCTCACTTCTTTGATCCTTCCTCAGTTGGTTTTGAACCCATGTCTCTGGGAAGGTGGAGAGATCATTTTTTTCTGGAGAAATCTGACAGTGTGGAGCCAAATGTCTCAGTTCTCAGGGTTTGCAGGTCTCTTGTTGTGGGTGTGTAGGGTTTAAGCTTTGTCTGCTGAGGTGAGTAGCTGCAGCTGATAATACACTGATATCTGCTAGTCAAACTTTTTGGTTGCATGTCAGGAGTTTAGCACAAAGGCTGAGTTAGGACACAGCTAAGAAGGCTGAGGGATGCTCTTTCTTCTTCTGCAGAGTTCAGTGTAGTTGTTTCCACAGTGCAGCCTCAGTTCTGGCAGGATGAGTTGCATCGCTGAGCTCTTGCAGTTTCTGTGTTTTGCAAAACTGCAGAGGCAGTTTTGCACTTCACTATGCTTGTTATGAGACATATAGGATGTTACTGGCTTAAAGCTGATAGAGACAAACTAAACTGTTTATTACCACATGATCCACACTGTAACACACAAGAAATCCCTAATTAATGACCAAAAAAGAACACAGATACATTCAGACACACATTTAGATTTATTATTATTATTATTATTAATTAGAAAACACTACTGAACAGTTTAGGAACTAGTCCCACAGTAAAGACTTATGAATCAAGTAAAAGCTGGTGCAGGGTAAAGGAAAATCAGTCTGGCAGGAAAAGCAGTGTTTATAGCTCATTGGGTCCTGCTCTCTAAAGAAGGAAAAACACTTCACAGTAATGACATGTTTGTACATGGCAAGAATTATCAGATGCTATGATAGTTTTGGGTAGACATTAAAAAAAGTTGAGTGATTTCACAAGTTGTGGATTAGTGAAGCAGTGTTATCTGCCCACAGACGTCAGTTAACAAAAAGAGAGGGGAAAGGCCAACAGTATACCAGCAAGAGAACAGGAACTGATCACTGAGTGGGGGGAAGAACAGCCCACCATCCAAAGAGTTCAGTCATATTTATAATTTACTACCACTGTGTAGTGTTTGAAAATGAGGGGAGAGAAGTAGACTGGAAACACAGAGTTTGTGAATACTACACATAAAGTAGATAAAGATTTCTGAGAAATAGGGAAGAGCTTAATTATGACTCCATTCTTTTTCTTAATTTTCTGCCTTTCTCTCCCTGCTTACTCATATTTTCTTGCAGAACCCATCTTGCTCTACACCACACTGCCTCAAGTGTGTGTGTGTGTGTATGTGTTTGAAGAGGTTTTAAAAATTCAAAACATCTCCTTATCAGTTTCTAGGATTAGAATAATTAACTAGTCCTGTGCCTCAGAAATCCCCCTGGAGCCAATCATTTGTTGGGTCTGGTTGCAGAGGCCAATGGATGGCAAAAGGGAGTGGTTAGCCAAGGACAGAGGGGTTTTGCAAATAGAAGACTGTCTAATGGTCTCTTTATCAGACTCAATCAGGCAGTTATACTGGAAATCCCCCCAACATGCAAGTTAAATATATAGACAAACATCAGATCTGTTGGCACAAGTTCTCCTATTAGTCATCGTCTAATGTGCAGCAGGGCAATGACAGAGGAGGTGATTATGTAGCGGACACTGAAAATTATACTCATTGTATCCTTAGAGCTTTATAGGAGCTTTAATGTGGCCAGAGATGATACAACATAACATTCAACTGACACCCTGTCAACCTCAGTATAAACCCACCATCAAAGAACAATGTGGTAGTCAGACTGGAGAGAAGGATTAGCCCAAGACACTGTAAGGTTTTAGATTAGCTTCATTCCCCTGAAACTGCAATATTTAACCCTTTGGTGGCAGTGACACAGGAGACTTTGGCTAAAAATTGGCCACAAGGGACAGTTATGGGATAATTGCAGGTAAACAGCACAAATAAAGTCATCAAACTGACTCAGTGATGTCAGTTATACACCAATGTAAAGTTAGCTAACATTAGTTAACAGCCAACACAAGCTGGTGGTCATAGTAGACCACACTGTAGTGAGAAAGGGTGCATTGCATTTTATTCCTTATAAAGCATTGTTTCATTTGCAAGAGTAAGAATAAGTTATTTTTTAATTTTCAAGGTTTTATAATTTTTTTATTGCAAGACATGAGACTGACAAGTTGCAACAACCATTTCAAAGGATAAACAGAGTCCAGTTTTAAGGTATTTGTTTTACTTGTCCTACTCAACTAAACTCCAACAAAGTGAAGTCATAGATCTCTTTTAATGGCTTTAGGTAAAATGTATTGACATTTGGTGAAATACAGTTTTGCTTTAATTTCTAGAGTTGGATAAGATTGATACCATTTTCTGGCAGCCCATTCCAGACCAAGCCAGTTAGTTTAGTACAAAGACTAGAAACAGCTGTCCTGGCTGTGTCCAGAGGTCAAGAATTCTGAAAGGGTTTGTGCTCTTGATTCACCAGAAATCTACAGTTCTGCACAAAGTTCCACAAAGGATGGGTTCATGGTTTTCTTGCTGTAATTATTCATCCAGTTGATAATGGCCATTGAAATAACTCCTCCTAATATGCTTCCAGTGTACAGTGAAGTGATGGGGGACAAAATCTACAGCCCCCGTTCTGTGCACAGTACAGTATATATTAAAGTTTTTTTGTTACACTTTTGTTACTTCACTGCAGTGCAACAGAAAACTCTGTCCAGGCAAATACAAATAGACTTAAGTATATATCAAAAAGATGAAACTTAGGAAGACATCATCTTAATTTCATTAACTACTTAAACCTTAAGTTTCAGATAAACATTTGAATATATTTTTGCACAAAACAAACTGTAGGAGTTTTCTGCCATTACTAAAATTAAAATCTCATTAAGAAAACTTATCTTAATGGCCTGTATGAACAGGAGAAATGATTCAGTCAAACACAGCCTTTTTTATTGTTTATATGTGCACAAAGTTGAAAAAAATACAGCATATCTTTTACGATGCAGAAAGAATTTATTTATTCCATGTATAAAAATTGGCGCAGTGTGAAAAAATGTGTAGTTGTGCTGATGATAGTCCATTGACTGAAATGTTCACGCTCTGTCCAATGCATTGTTGCACCTTTTGTTTTCTTAATGGGTCTTTTCAGAGGTAATTAGACTTACCAAGACCTCTAAAACTCATTAACGTATCTGATTTGTATAATCTGTAGTTGTTTCCCTGTTTTCAGCCATTATGCTAAGCTTGAAGTTGCTAGCCGAAGTCTTACTATGTAGTTATGAGAATAGTATCAATCTTCTCATCCAGCAACAACTTTGATGAAACAACGGTGTTAGACCCAGTTCTTTAGTTGAAAGAGCGAGAAGAGAAGACACAAGAGAACTG